AATGATGTACCTATTCATTTGAATGCTAATTCTATTAAAAGACAAGTCAAGATATTTAACAAATGCTTATAAAAATCATAGAAGCCAAGGTTTTGGCATAAATGATGATATAATAATAAAAATTAAAACTAAGGTGTCCATTTATGATGATAAAATTGATCATATATCTTTTGTTGATGGGTTATTATATTTAGATAAGTTGTTTGAATGCAAAATCATTTCAAATGAATGACAAGATATACAAAAGCAAATTTTAATTAGACAAGCTAAAATTTATTAGAAGAGCATGGAAAGGCAAAGAAAAATGTTAGGAAAGTAAACTATTACAACTTGAGCTAAAATGAAAGAATTTTAAAGAAATGTCTTTATCGTATCATAATTATTTACTTGATGAATTTAATTTATTAAGTCATAAGACAAACTGATATTGAGTAAATGAATAAATTAGAAGAGCTGTAGTTGCATTCTGGATCATTGAAGATCATTAAACCACTATCAAGGTTTAGGTTTGATTTGAGACTATGTATCAAGAGGTAGATGAATGATACACCTTAGGTTTTGACAATTTCGGTTTTGCCCTAATTTCCCCCCAAAAAGAGGAATTTCTCCACCAAAACCAAAGAAGAACAATCACAAGAGGGTTGAGATGAGAAGCAAAAACCTTTGCATAAGAAAACCAAGAGAAAACAAGATAAGTTTGTCCACTTCGAGAAGGACAAGATCTCCCACAAGAAAACCCTAGAAAAGAGCAAGAAGGAGGCTAAGGAGAAAATAAGAGAGAGAATACACTTTTCATAATGATCCCCACTAAACCCTAATGGCTCCCTTCATACCAACACACAATTTCTCCCTCCCCAAAATGCCCCCACTTAAGTGGATGGGGCCCCTTGGTCCAACCGGACCGCCCGCCCCTCTCCCCTCCGCCTGTAGACCTGCACGGGTCCAGGCCAGACCGGTTCAGGGTGAACCGGTCCATCAATGACCCATCACTTCCTTCACTTCATGCTTTTCAACTAACATTACACATTGAACAAATACTAACATTTTGTGTCAAAGAAGACTACTAAATATTATAAAAGTGCATTATTTCATGAAAACAATTTAGTTCAATTTGTTGCACCAATGACCATCTAAGGGTAGTAACACTATGAATAAAAAAGATATTAAAGGGAAAACAATTGCATTTGCGTGTAAGTCTATGATTTTTGCAAATGGATGTTTTAAATTCAATAAAATAGTCATTATCTAAGGAGTATTTCAATAGAAACTTGCATATAAATATGGAGGAAGAAAATAAAATCAATTGCTATGATGATTTTCACGAGTTCGATGAAAAAAATTAATGATTCCAAAGATGCTTTAGCCGATGATTCTTTGGATTTCATGTGTTGCATTATAGTTGTTCCTAATATTGAATTTGATTTGAAAAGGACTACAACATTTTAAACATGAGGAGAAACTACTTAATCTTAAAATTGACAATCGAAACTGTATGAATGACATATCCAAAGTTGACGCATGCGTGTAGATAATAGACATACCAATAAAATCCCTTGTTTCAATTGTATGCTTGATATGAAGAATGATGTTATGAGATTTTATTATATTGATTTGAAAAGAGATTATCATTGTAGGTTGAATTAGGAAGGTGATGAATGCAATATTCTTTTTAAAACCAAAGATATATCATATGAATGGTTGGATATTTCTTTTAAGTTAACCAATGCACCTAGCTGTATAGAATAAAGAATCATATCTGTATAAGCATAAAAGTTGTATTTGAATTTCAAGAAGTTTTGTTTTGTGATATATTAATTAATAGCAATCTACGAGATGAACATTTAGTGCAACATAAGAAAATATTTGATGTTTGAAAATGTGTGTATAGTAATTCCATTTGTGATTTTATTAGAATTTATTATATTTAGATATAGATTATCTATTGAGAAGGATAAGGAAAGTGATTAACGATAGGCCAAAATAAACTAATATACAAGACATATGATTATCTTTTATAGACAACTTAATAAAATGATTTAATATTGTCTCCTAAAAAAAAAAAAAACAGCAGTTCAAAGTTTGGAATCTACATGGTAAGGAACGATCTTAGAGATTTGAATTATCTAAGAGAAAGGGGCCAAAATGGTACTTTGACCCTTTATGAAGGACCAAAATGATCCTCGACTAGATTAAATAACCATTTTGGTAGCTCAAGTATTTAAAAAGGAATCAAAATAGTCCTATGGTGGGACTATTTTAGTTCCTCTTTAAGGAGTTGAGGGACCAAAATAATCCTTTAATATAATTGGGGATTATTTGGTATTTCAAAAAGAGTCAAAGAATCAATTTGAACCTTTCTCAAATATCTAACTATGTTCACGGGGAAGAAGGAAAAGAACAAATTAACCATCATTATGACCATGATTTTCATCATTAGCCTTATCCAAATAATTTGACGCAACTTTATAAATCCACATTCTCTAATTGTCATAAAGTGGTGAATTGTTAAACTTATTTTGAACAAATATTTTATCCAAGTTATCTCCGATCTATCCCTTGTTGTAGATGATTGTTGGAAAGTGGATGCACTTTTCACAAAAATCAGCGGTTGAAATATAAAAAATTGGGAAGGACAACCCCCAAAATAATTTTTATTGAAAGAAATATAAAGAGAAATGCAAGATACAATTGGATCTTCAATTGGAGAGGAAGATCCGGCTTTCCTAAATCCATAGCCCCTGGCTAGAGCCCAAATAGCCTAGAATAAACTAAATTCAGCAAACTCCAAAACATAATATTGAAATCACCCTATTGTTAGCCTTAAATAGGCTCCCATAATTCCCTCCCAAATCAGTCCCCTTTCCCTAAATGATTCCGTATCATATTTGAATTCAAATTAGATTTATTCCCTAATTAATTCCTTCTCAATTGTAACTAAAACTTTCTTAAGCAATGCCCCCTTAATTCATCCTCCTTTTCCCTAAATAATTTCCTCTTAGATTTTGAATTCAAATTAGATCTCTTACCCTAAATAATTCCCTCTCAATTGTAATGAAAATATTCATAAACAATTCCCCTTGATGAAGAACCTTCATAAACAACTACCTCTTGATTAGGAAACTTCCTAATTACCTCCCAATCAAATCAGCCGGTCCATCAATGATCAAATCAATTTATTCTAATCTTTACCATCTTATATTCAATAAATGCTTCTTCCGTACCCCTCTAACCATAATCATTGCTTAATATCTTTTCTAATTTTTTCATAAATACATCTTAATATTTTCATTTCTATAACGCTCAACTTGTTAATTAATGATTTTTTTTGCTATAAACAGTTAAAATTCACACAACATAACTAAGCTAATTATAGTCATAAAAACTATAGCTTTAAATATACATGATCTTATCTTATCGTTACAGTCATGATAAAAATAGAAAAAATTATCTTATTGTATGAACAAGATTTTTTTTTTTCCTCAAAAAACAGCTCAATGCTTAAGTCTACATAAGCAAGGGATTTCAATGAGAGAGGTGAAATACGAAGTCCAACAAAGAAGAGAGAATACTGAAGGACAAGTAAGAACCTACACAGCAGTATACATATGGCTAAATAATGGTTATAGTAATAGCAACTACAAAATAAAGGCTACTGCATAAAAAAAACTGCATATGCACTGACCAGCAGTAGGTCAGGCTCAACAGCTTGAGACAAAATGATTATTCATCACTATCAAATTTGAGTAATTCGCCATAGAAATTGACACTTAATTGAGTTGATAGGGGTAAACATTATTGAAAAATTCTGGAGGTTTGACCAGAAAAGTGAACTCAGATGTGGTAACTAATTGAGCTCCTATCTCATGTAGAAGATAAACCATCATAATGAAAATAATTGAATAAATGACATGCATTTCATCAACTGTACTAAACTGATCGATCTTTTTCATTCCATAAACTCACTAATACTAAGTAGAAGAAGCAGATTAATACATTAACAACTCCCCAAAGCAGGGACTGCAAGTTAAAAACCTTTCATTGAAGTGTGATTAATTTATAGTTAAGATAACACAACATTTGAATCATACACAAATGAATTATATTGTCCTCCCAAAAATCTCATCCACCTAAATTAATCAAACGAAGCTAAAATACCAAAAACGAAGCAAATACATCACTCCTCAATAAAGAACCACAAAAAGTTAAATTATATTTTCAGAAATTGCAAAATATCTGGAGTGGTAAAACAAAGAAATAAATCAGATGTACAAACTTCAGAAGAATTCTCTGAACGATGGGTGATATATGAAAGGTTTTATAAAGAGACACTGAATAACATTGTTTGTTTTTCTTATTTTGCTTTCAGCTAACATGTAACAACCAAAAGCCTTTCAAACTAACTTCTAGTTAACCATAAATTCTAAGGTCTTTTAAGCAAATTGCACCCTTCACTAACCATAATATGCTAACAAATGTCAACCAAATAATAAAAACAATCTTATGAACAGAATTTGAGGTATGGAGTGCAAAAAGTGACATAGTAGTGATACAGAAAAACCTATAAGCAGTTAAAACCGAGAAGCTATCCATCGAAGACAACACTTGCCAAAAACAGTTACAGTAAGTTCTGCTTTAACATTTTTTACTAATATGAAACAATAATCTACAAAAGCAAGAAGGTTGTGGTAAGTACAGAGATAATAATCAATGACAGCTCGATGAATTTCAAAGTTCGAACTGAAACAGCAGCAGATGCTGCACAAATCCTCTCCATTTAGCTCACCAAACCTCATTAAAACACAGCTCCTATTTCAAAGTTGTAAACTGCCACATAAAGCTATTATCTAAGTTGTACAATTAAATTGTCACAGTGCAATCCACTAAAAAAGAACAAAAATTTTCTCAAAAAAGCATACTTCATTATGAAAAATACATAAAGAAGAACATAAATATAGGACAAATCAAAAGATTTAAAGAACTTTTGCAGCTTTATTTCCCACCTCAAACTGTTCCAATTCCTTATAAGCTCCACTTGAGAGCTTCTTCCGCACAGTCCCAAAATCCATTGGATGTTTGATGATATCATGGTAATCTGGAAGCTACATGTGCGACCATCAAATCATCAGCTCTCAGTTGACAGATGACAAAATGTTACTGTTCATAGAAGAGAGTGAAAGATATAGAAAAAGATCAGACCTCTTCTGGATCCACGGGCTCAGAAAAAACTCCATAGATGTCCTTCCTGCAGGCAATGAAGAATGGATCAGTAAAAGGAACAAATAACTTAACAAACACAGAACACACAAATCAGCAATCTGAAACCACATAATCCGAAAACATAAAGAAACACAGGCACACACTTCTGCAGCCTATCAAGGATGAAATCCAATAACTTTTTGTCTGGCAGAGGCGTTGTGGGGCCCAAATCAGATGTCCCTGCACAAATTATATATGATTAACAAATAAGAAAACGAAAAATCTAAAAACAGAGGAGAAATCTTCCATCGTGAAATAAATGCACAAACAGTAAACCTTGAGGAGCCTCTGTCGCTTTCCAGGCCGAATTTTTTCCTTCTGTCTGCCAGAGACCGAATCCTAAAATTAGTCAACTGAAATAATGCTCGTATACCCTTATATTAATATAACTATAGTGGAAAAAAAAGCGCGAAAACAGTTGAAAAAAAGCAAATTAAAAAAAATCCCCATTTTATAAGCAGGTCCACTCCCGCGAAAGCTGGGTAAAGTAGAGGGAAAATTCATAGAGATAACATATATGAAATAAAAACTAAAATTTTCAGCTGATAAAAGACGCAGACTGTGATTATTTCATTCGGATAATGGAGAAAACGCAAAAATGGACTAATTAATTAAAATAAAATAAAGAGCAAATCAAGAAAGATCGCCATAAAAAGGAAGTTGACCTCGTCAAATACAAAAGCCTTCCTACTTCGCACCGTGGAAATCCGTAAAGTTTAAAACTGGGAACAGAATCCTATAAAGCCGCTCACCGAACCGAAGCAAACGCATTGATTCCCGATCCCGGGACAAAAACCGTACTCAACGCAGCCTAATCTATAAATCTCCCTAGAGCTCTAAATCCTGGGCCACCCCCTTGCAGAACGACGGATCGCCGCATCCCAGAGCAAGGACGGGGCATTTCGAACAAGAAATTGGTAATTTTCTATTAATTAGTGATAGTTAGTCAATTGGACCTTTCCCACGGCGTCAATCTTCCGGTTTTCGAGAACGGCACCATTCGATTCAGATGCGTAGGATGCCAAATCGGACGAGTTGGTGTTGGTGTGAGGGAGGTGGAGGACTAACTTGAGCTTTTTCTCCTTTCGCCTCCCCTTTGGTTCGTCGTCGTCCTCATCGTCCCCCATTGAAGCGTCCGCCTCTGCATCATCCCCATCCTCCGCCGGAGAAGCCGGTTCAGGATCGGGATTAGGGTTTCGCCGGGAGGAGCGGCGGCCGGCAGAGGGAATTGGGAAACGGGCATATGGGTTGGGGATTGCGTTAGGTTTAGGGTTAGGGTTTTGCTTCTGCTTCTTTTGCTCTTGCAGCTTCTTGAGCCGGAGGCTACGCTTCTGGAGATCGAGGAGAGATGGGCGGCCTTTCTTCTTCTTCTCTACAGCCTTCCCCATCTCTCTCTCTCTCTCTCTCTCTCTCTCTCTCCACTCGCTTTCTCTCTCTATCTACAATTGTTGGGCCATTTTTAAGAAATTTTATTTTCTTTTAATTATTTGGGGCTCACGATTTTTAGAGCACGCCGGCACGTGCCGGACGCACCCAAATGCGTACTAATTAGACAAGATCATGGCTCTAATGAAATTTATTTTCTTAATTAATAATCTTATTATGTTAATATATAAATGTATTTTAATTACATGTATTTTGAATAGTTAGAATTTTGTTCTAAGTTAAATTTTTCTTTAATTTAATTTGAAATTAAAAGTTGATGAAATATTATTAAATATAAATGAGAAACTAATAATTTTAATAAATAAAACTTATGTCGAGATGACTTATCTATGGCTTACATTTAGATAAGCGAAATTCAAATTTAGCTCAATTGAAGTAATCCATTATACAAATAAGAGCATATATATTCGCTCCGACTCTCAATTAAAAAAGACAGGATTACGCATTATGAATCACTTGCTTGACCTCTTATGATTATAACAAAGAATGACGGTGAGAAGTAAAGAGTATTGGCGATGATCAAGAGATGAATGTCTGTCAATTGATGTTAGTGTCACCATTGGATGATTGTAAAAATCAGATAGTCATCGAGTAACACAAGTGGGGCCATGACAATCAATCTGTAACAATCAAATGATTATAATTCTGCGGCTACAATCATGTAATGATGGTCAAGTGATAACAACATATAAAGCTTTGGAGTTCAATAGGTCTCTAAACTCTCTCCCATTTGATGTCTCTTTCATACAAAGAACAAAACTCTATCCCTAATTTTTTTTAGTTAAATTATGATTATTTTAGTCACCCTCCAATCACTTCTCAAAGAGTATATAATGATTGTTCGATCATATATGATTTTTTATATATTTAAGCACCTTAATGACATTAAAATTATGAGATATTGAATATGTTAACTTCCACACATCAAGGTGCTTATTTTGACTATAAGCGCATAAAATATAGAGTTTATTTGATCTTCAAATAGTAATGAATCTTTCGCATGCTTTAAATATTTGATTTTCATCATAGCCCCCATTCCCTCAAAAAAAAAAATCAAAGAATTGTAAACGTCATAGTGCATATGCCCATAGAGCCTATCTGAAAGAACAAAGAAATAGAGTAAATAGGCGATCAAAATATTTTCCAAAAAATTAGAGTGTGGGCAGAAGAAACAAACAGTAAAAGTTAAAGCTCTGCATTGCCAGCCCAAAACGTCGAAAACTAGTTCTGGGTAAATAAAAAAATGATGAAAAGGCCCAGCCTGGATATGCGCGATGGGCCGGATTAACCGGCCTGCACTGCTGCCCCCATGGCTAGCGCTAGCCAGCGCTGTACCATAGCACACGCCTGTCTAAGCACACAAAACTTCCAAAATTTTTATATAACATCCTCTTTCTGAGCATTGTCTTCCCCTTTGGACCACATAAAGCCTTCCCAACAATACACCAATTTTGTTGTTCCCATCGGGTGTCAAAATCAGGTTACGGGTTAAGTTCCACTTGAATCCAACATTGGCCTGCTACTATTTGACATGACATGAACCTGACACTAACCCGCAAACGGGTCAAGAATTTCAACCCCAATCCGACTCGTCGGATTTCCGAGTTGACCCAACCCTACATGAAACTATGACTTCGGTACTGAGCAACTGTCTGATTGAGCGTTCGCAGTCCGCCTGCGGTAGTCTCTGTAAAGGCCATTTTGCTCGGACGAAGTTGGATCGTCCGGGACGATCGGTACAGGTTGTTCAAGGAAAACAGTTTTGGCTGCATGGCTCGTCGGGACGAAATTTGGATCGTCTGGACGAAAATTCTCCCGAGGACAAGTCGCCATGGACGTTAATTAAATTCATCTGGACGAAATTCGTCCAGAGCCACTTCGTCCCGGGATGAAGTTGCGATCGTCCGGGACGATCAGTCTGGATATTTATAGAAATGAGATATTTTGAGGAGAGAGAAAAGCCCATGAGAGAGAAAAACGAAGGAAAAAGAGAAAAAGTGAATTTTTGGGCAACACCGGTCTGTTTTCGTCCGTCGAGACAGTTCAAGAAATTGGTGTATGCAAGGTAAGGCACATTCCGCCTTTCTCAATTTTCAGAACGGTGAAGTTTGAACGATTTTTCTATCCGGATTTCGTTTTCGTTAGCGAATTTCGTCCGTATTTTTCGATTGGTTCAGTTTTTACCGCGTAACTTTTGGTATGTTTCTGAGGTGCCGAGTGCGCACATTTTGATTATTTTCTGGAGAATTTTGACCGAATAGTTTTGATTCGGCGGTGTTTTCTTTCGACTGTAATTTCTGATGATGTCTAAATTTGTCTGGGCAGTAGAATGAAAGTCTTATAATGTTGTTGTGAATGTTCTGTGGTAATTTGATAAATTTCTGATTTAGTGAATTTTGTGTAAATTCCGTATACTGCCGTTATGCCGCTGGATTTTCGTACGATTTCTGAAATTGTCCGAATTTGTTTTGAAATGACATGATATGGTTGTGTGCTATGAAAAGGGAGTTATAAGGGGTCAGGATCCTGCCTGTGTCAGGGAAAAATCTGAAATGAGCTCTGAAATCTGAAAACAAGTTCTGTTCCGGATCCGATGATAAGTTATGTTCTGGTGCTATAAGTACATCTGTTCTGGTGCCATGAGCACAAAGGGAGGCATAAGGGGCCAGAATCCGAGAGATTATGTCAGTGTCTGGGAAGGGAGGCATAAGGGGCCAGAATCCGTTGAGATTCTGTCAGAGTCAGGGAATCTGTTCTGACTTTTTATAATGTTCTGAATTGATATGTTCTGATACGCTTTTGATATGATTTTTGATTCTGATATGATTCTGTTCTGTTCTGATTTGATCTGATCTATACGATTCTGTTCTGATTTGATCTGATATGTATGATTCTGTTCTGATTAAATTTATGGAATTATGATTTCTGTCATTTCTGTTCTGTTCTGATTCGATATACGATTCTGTTGATCCGATTTCTGTACGGATTTTTGTCTGATGTGTTGATGTGGATTCTGAGGATTCTGATTGGAGGTTTGATGTTTTGCTGAGCTGTTGTAGCTCATCCTTGTTTTCTGCGTGATTTTCAGGTTTTGGGAAAGGGAAGGAAGTCTTGGAGTAAGAGTTCAGAGTCTGATCTGTTATAGGTATTTTGCACTTTTGATTTTTGTACAATCATGGCTTTTCTGTTCTGTTTTTCTTTCTGTCTGAAAGCCATAAGCTGTATTTGTATATGATTCTTTTGAGGAAAAAAAGATAGATGATCTGTTCCGCTGTATTTTGATGTTTATAGTAGCTCTGTGTTTCTGTTTCTGTGTGTAAATGTTTGAAAGAAAGTTCTGAAACAAATTCCAAAGCCAGATCCTGGAATCAGTTCAGTCAGTTTGAGTCTGGCCACGACCTGGTGCGAGCGGGATCCGTCCCGGTCGGGTTGGGTCGTGACAGTCTCGACGAAACCTCGCCTGTGGGAATACACAAGGGAGGAAAGCAAACAGTGAGGCCAGCTCCAGTGGCAGGCGTGCGAGGCTGAGATGGCAGCGCTAGCGGGTGTGCAGGCGAGGACGAGCCGAGATCCGCGATGACAGCAGCTAGCAGGCATGCGTGGTAGGTTGAGGCGAGAGACGTAAGATCATCGCCAGCGGGCATGCATGCGAGGCCAAGGGCAACGCCAGCAAGCGTGGGACAAAATTTCAAGTTTGCCGGCAAAAGAAGGTCAAAATCGGAATTCTATGTTGACCTGAACCCAACCCAGAATTTGAAACGGGTCAAAAATCAGGAACTGAATCCATCCCATTCTTAAAACAGGTTAACCATAACCCGAAAAATTCGGGTCGGTTTCAAGTCTGATTTTCGGTCGCGTCAATTTTTGACAACCCTATTCCCACCACCAAAGCTCATCATAAATCTAAGCTCGTCCAAATCTAATATGGATTTTGAAGGCCCTAAATAAATTGACTGTAACAACTAATTTCACACTCCGTGCAGCTTGCTCTGGATCGAATGCAAACTGTTTGGTATGTGTTACCATGTAAATGACCTTCAATATTTTAGTGTCGTTGATTCCTGTGGAGTACCAATGTCCCTTCAACCATGTTTTTCATTGCAGAGCTGGACTGAGCCATTGTTTTCAATTGCTAGAATTAGAGGCTTAGTCTCACCTCTTAACAATATGCAAGGTTGCATACTTGCATGTCTGCCTTAATGCAGTATATGGGCTTTACTGATCTTCATAGTGAGAATGAATAAAAAAATATTATTATAGCTTCTATCAAAGATCTTGCAGGAAGAGCGATGAAGAAGTGAGAATTAATAAAAAAGATCCTTTTAAAACAGAATAAAAAAAAAAAAGAGAACATTGCTTTGAGTACCTTAACAGCTCTCTGTTCTTTTTTCTATTTTTCCTCGTCAACTGTTAAAGATCAAGAGGTTGTATATCCCCTTCCTCCCACGACTATGCAGCACTTGATGAAGAAAGAATTGATTAATCCTGGGTCAGTTCATGTTAGCTTATAAGTCTCTTAAAATCTATAACAATATGAAGAGAAGTAACAAGAATTATAGAGTGCATGCAGAACGCTGAAAAAAAGTATAGTATGAAAAAATAAAAAAGAAGAATGTTTTGATAAGCCATTAAGCTCTATGATTTGCGGTATAATCACCACAAATTCTAACTTACATTGAAGAAGGTTTTTCCATTAATCATGTTTTTATTAAAGATTTGTTTGGGATAGTTTTTTTACTGTTTTATTTTTCAAATAATATTCATAATTTCATTTGGGTACTGCTTTCTGTTTTACAGAAATATCTGCGGTGAAAGCTACTTTCTGCAACCATAGTAGCGAAGTTGCTGTTTCAACTTCACAACAAACTTTATAAAATATTGCAGCCGTCCCAAACAAACCCTAAGATTGAGTCAAACAATTCTCATCTGTATAAAAGTTGTGAGAATCCATGTTAGGCTCTAAAAATCCTTTACAAAGACCTCAGCTTT